GGCGGAGCGTTTAAGCTTAAAGCCGCAACGTTTGTAAACCGGGACGGAAGAGGAAAAGAAACGCAGTCAACCGCATGGCCATGAAATTGTTCGACGCACACTGTCATCTCCAAGATCCAAGAATCCTCAGCACTGCTCCGAAACTCATCTCTACTGCCCTTAATTCCGGCGTTACTCATTTTGTCGTTAATGGCGTCTCCGAGGTCATGATCAATATTTCTTTTGATTTTTCACAATGGGTTTCATTTCTTATTCTGTCAAGCGGCAATTTAGTGTATTTTTGTTGGGTGTGCAGAAAGACTGGCATTTAGTGAAGGAGATGAGCGTTGACTATTCGTCTGTGCTTCCTTGCTTTGGTGTCCACCCCTGGTGAGTACAAGTAAGCACACCCATCTTCTCCCCCGAAATCAAATGTTTCTGAATCTTCCTGGGCGTTTTGCAATTGTAGGTATGTTGAAGAGAGAAGTCCTGCTTGGTTCAACACTCTCAAGGAGTTCTTGGAGACAACTCCCTCTGCTTCTGTTGGAGAGGTAAATACATAACCAATTTTATCTAGTTTTAATTTTAACCAGAGAAATAGAGGGTTATTATTATCCTTTTTTTTCCCTTTGTGTTCAATTTTTTTGGTACATTTAAATGATGTGCTATACATCACCCTCCCCTTCCCAAATCCCTCCCTACGCATCCCAAGATTCAAACTTGTTAATATAGAGACTCAAACTCTTAACCATTGGGACGTGCCTAGTTGACTTTTTCTTTGTGTTCATAACAACAGATTTTGGGTGGTAAAAGGTGGCTCATTTAATTCCTATACGGCTATACCCCCATGCTTGAATTTATTTTGCTTAGTGGAAAAATGGCTTCTTTGGTCTTATACCTGTATGCTTTCACTCCTTGACTTACGCGGACATTGTGTTGGAACTTTACAGATTGGATTAGACAAAGGTTCTCGAGGAAAGCAGATTGATTTCACCAGTCAGGTTTTTGTAACTTGACGTTTATTTTTTTTGTTATCACTTATCATTAATCAGAATATTCATTGTTTCTCCATTTATTATGTTTCCTAGGCCTTTTTTTAAGCCCTTTCTCAAAAGTTAAGGTTTCCTCTTTTCAGGTTGAAGTATTCCAGCAGCAGCTTCAACTTGCAAAAGAGCTGAAAAAACCTGCATCTGTCCATTGTGTCCGTGCATTTGGTGAGCTTCTTCAGATAATGAAGTAAGATCATTTATTTATGTTGAAAAAGTTTACCTTATCTGAAAATATTGCTAAGTGAATAAAAAATGTTTCAGTGTAACTTGGATAATGTAGATTGTGGCATGTGCGTAATGTTGGATCAAGTTTCTGCTGACTTTTAAGATAATAAATTACCTTGGTTGTTTCTTTTAGCATTTTGGACTTTTGAAAGATTGAGCATTAAAAATTCAGCTTATATTGCTTGGAATTTTGATTATAAAATTTTCTTTATCTTTGAAATGCAATGTATAATTTTTATTTTTGGCTGATAACTGCAATGTATAATTGGAGGTTCTTTTTTTACTTCTATCATGTCCGCAGCTAAATGCCAATTTGAGTTTGACTTAGCAAATTCCACTATAATATGTTTCATCATCTCCACTCCCTCTTCTCACCTTTTTCCTTTTTTCTGGGTCACTTTTTGTACTGTCATTATTTCTGTCTTCCTATAGAATCTTAAATTTAAACTGGTCCAGCTTTTGGAATCCAAATTTTTTTCTTTTGAAGTGTTTTATCTTCTCTATTAAGGAATAACAGCCATGAGAAGTACCATTACCGATGGTTGAAAATAAGAGAATCAGCTTGGGTGGTAAAACACTTTTTAATTGGATCATTATTTTCATAATCTTTTGTCTTATAACACCTTCAATTTAGAACTTCTGTATCCTTCTTTGCTGCTTAGTTTCAGATTGGCTCTGATTTTTTTTTTTTGATATTATTGATATTTATGACTTATTTTTTATTGATCTTAGTTAGCCCATAAAACTCATTTTTCAGTATCTTGAATGGGAAAGAGTGTATTTATGAATTGTGACTTTGGTCCTTGTTGCAACTATGCACCTAGTGGTGCTTTCAGCGTTCAGTTTAATCTTGCTTCTTGTTAATATATTATAAATTTATAATGTATGTTTGAAAGTATTTTTTTTTTTCTTTGGCCAAAGTGTATTTGAACTTAAATATGCCTAGTTTTTACTGTGAACTTTGACCTCAGAGATCTAGGGCCCTTCCCAGAAGGTGTCATTCTTCATTCTTACCTAGGTTCTGCAGAGATGGTTCCTGAATTCGCAAAGCTTGGTGCTTACTTTTCATTCTCTGGATTTCTCAAGCACATGAAACAACAGAAGGCAAAAATAATGCTCAAGGCGGTTAGTCATTGATTTCATTGTTTTGTGGTAATATATGTCAATGCACATGAACAGAAGAAGGCACAAAAAAAAAAAAAAAAGGAAAAAAGAAAAAAGGCTCAAGGCAGTTAGTCATCAATTTTTTGGCCTTGAGGCCATTATTGATTCCATTGTTTTGTGGTAATGTGTGTCAAGGCACTCTAACATTCTTACTTCTAAAACTCTTCTAGATACCTTCGGAGAGGATTTTATTAGAGTCAGATGCCCCTGATGCGCTGCCAAATTCAGAGTTAGGTTCTCTATTTTTGGTTGATGGAGATCCTTCTCTACCTCAAGAGCTTCATACCCAAGGGGGGAATTCAGCATCAGATGATGGCTCTGCCCCTGATGATCAGACCCATGGAGCAAGAGATGCATCAAAGTCACCAAAAGACATGCTTAACCATCCAGCCAACATTCATATTGTATGCATTCTTTTTTGCTCTTTTTTTTTTTAATTGTTATTAATGAATGCATTTATCAAAGACTCTATATGCCTTTGTGAGCTATCTTGAGATTGACAAAATTAGGTTCATTAATGTGCTAAAAGTGGGATTTTTGCTAAAACCTTGCTTTGGCTAGATTATATTGCAAAATTTCCATATTTATTTATGAGCATGTTAGAGGCAGACTTTTAATTGCCTCATTGAATAATGAATATGATGATATCATAAATTTGTATTCATGTCAGGTCCTTCAGTTTCTGATTTGTACATGTCAATATTTCATCTTAGTTGGATCCTCAAAAAGGAGAGAAGCATAAAATTTCTCGGTTATAGGCTAGTCTGTTAGAAAGGTTTTATCTTTGTTATTTTGTTCTGATTTATTAATGTGCTAACATGTAACTTGCTTACATTTATGTTATTAGTTTTCTTAGATTTTAGAAATTAAGGTCAGAGGAGTCATCCTGGGATGAGTTTAAGAAATAGATTAAGTTAAAATTCAACACCCAATAGAGTTCTCTTTAAAGATCAACAAATGTATTTGGGTAGAAAACATTGTAGAGACTAAGTACACATTTGTTCAATTAACAGGCATGTCTCTTCTCTCAAAAAGAAGTCTTTATCACAGTTTTATTTTAAGAATCGCTTATTATGACATTTTGGATTGGGAACAAAGTAAAATAAGAAGATGATGTAGATATTTGAATCATAAGAAGATTAGCATATTATGACATTTTGAATTCTGTTGTGACACTTGGTTGAATATCTGTTGCATGTTCTCTTTTTCCCATCCCATGCTGTTGGCAGATGGTATGTTTTCTTCTTATTGGCCTTTTCTTGCTACGCTGAGCATTATTTCAGATATGTGCTTTTGAAGTGCATAATTTTGTGATGTGTGAAAAACTTCAATGCTAATACAGGTGCTTGATCATGTGGCATCTTTGCTGGAACTAACCAAGGAAGAAGTTGCAGAACTCAGTTATAGAAATGCTGTCCGCCTCTTTTCCTATGAAGGTTCAAAAATTTCCTCCATGTGATTCAGTTTCCTGTGTCTGTTTTCTCTTCTAAGTTTGGGAGCACTACCGTGCAAAAATTACTTGTATCTCACCTCATCTGATATGGCTCTTCCACACTTCTAATGTGTATATCAGTAGTGTTCAGACTTTGGATCTTCACTCAATAAGCATTGCTGCTATACTATACGCACAATAAGAAAAGGAATATTTCAGTCCTTAACAGGGAAATTCCTAGCCAATGCTACAAATTTCTCCTTTTTCCACTAATTGAAGCTTTTGATATTACTTGCCCAAAAAAACAAAAATTCTTATAAGAGTACATATGAACTCTTCTTAACGGTAATAGTATATTGGAAAAGTGACTATCAGATTGTATTATTCAAAAAATTAAATGAAAAAATATTTTAAAATTAAGTTATTTTAATAAAAGTTTATTACAAAAAGATTAAAATATCTTAATTTTTAACATATGAATAAGGTTTAGTTTATTTTTATGTATTTTATTAAAATAAAATAAATTTAAAATCTTTTCTTACTTAATTTTTTGTAATAAATATCCATTAATCTCATAGTATATTTGGTGGGAGAAAAAGTTATTCTAATCAATCAAATTATTTTGTTGGTAAGTTACTTAAATTAGTTGGTTGAAATAATGTCATTTTTTCTTTGGAGGAAACCAAATAGGTATAGATAATGATGAATAGTGTGTTAGTTTTGGTTTATTTACTTATGGCAAATCAAATGGATTAAATATTTTGAATTATATATAATAATAATTATTAACCATCAAATATCAACAATTAATTATTAATAATATTTAAACAGTTAATCCAAATAATCCCAAATATTTTTTTCTAGAACCGGTAAAGGTGCACTTTCAAAAAATAAATAAAGACGCATATGCATGAAACATTTCTTCTAATAAAAATCTCTTTAAATAACTGAACTCCAGATTATATGGATATATTTGCCCATTTGAACGTTTGATCTGTTTCACTCTTCAAGGAAGTTTTGAGCCACCTCCGTTTGCTCTGCTCTGCTCTGCACTCTCTCTCATTGCTTCCAAGTAAGCCTCCTTCTCCTTTGACTCTCTCACTGTGGGGGAAAAAGTGCTGGTTCATCTTATCTTTGCATTGTTGTGTACCTTAGAGGGCACGTTAGAACGTGTTTTGGATGGATGAAATCTTCTGTTGTTGATTTGGTTTGTCTATGTTGCTTCACAATTTGAACATTCAGTTCCCAGTGGAAAACTGGAAAATCCTGCAAAGATGTGTTTCGGGCATCTGTATGATCTTCGTGTTAAATGGTTCAGGTTCTTAATTTCCTTGTACCAATACCCAAAATCTCATTATCGAAAAAATTCATCTTTCTGTACAATTTTTTCAGTTATGCTCTTATGGTTATATTATGAATTTTTTACATCAAATGTGTTATTGGTTCTAGATGTTGCAGCCAATCTGATGCCTAAACAGTTCTCATACTATTGTCCGGCCACTGTCATCCATGAGAATGGAAGACCTTTATTTATTTTGTTTATTTTGATAACTTTCAGTTTGATCTCAAAAGGAACCAAGCAAGACGGCCATCACCAACTTTAGCTTCTGCAACAAAGACTCTTAGCTGATATATGTTCTTTAGTTTTTGTTGAAAGACTGCCGGCAGTTAAATTGCTTGAGTATGGCTGAAAAGAAGCACAAAGATACATTGCCCTGGTAACAGATTTTGTATCTATTTAGATTTTCAGTTTTTGTGGTTGGTTCAACTTCCTTCTAAATTCTATTTGGCCTCCTTGTATATTTTTGTGAATTTCAGGTCCCCTAAGACAACGCCTTCATCCGAATTGCAGGTCTATGTACGGGGTGTGCCTTTTACATTAGATATAGTGAGAAAAGTTCCAAACTAGCTTCATTTCCTTCCTGGTGTCCCTTATATTCCAGCATTTAATTTTGTCCCTTGTTTTTCACCAAGAAATTAATTTGTTATGTACCTACTCCTAATCATGTAGGAAATTCTGGCTTCAAAATCTGCCAAAGTAGCTGATTTTCTCAAGGAGAACTCAAATGTAGATCTCCAACATTTTTTCCTCAATATTCCAGCTGATGCAGAAACTTTTGAGCATGTTGCAAGATTCTGCTATGGCATGTGTGTACACATGTCGACTGAAAATGTTGTACCTCTCATCTGCCTTGCGTTCTATTTGGAAATGACTGGTGAAAGTAATCTATTAAGCAAGGCTGCTACCTACTTTGAACAGAACGTCATCCCTAGCTGGAATGAAACCATAAAGGCCTTTCGAGTGGCAGAGAACTTCCTTGGACAAACAATGCATTTGGGTATATTTGACGCCTGCTTGGATTCTATTGTAGAGAAGGCGCTGGCTGATCCACGACTCTTAGGGGAACCCATAAGGGTTTCAACAAATTATGATGACAGTGAAGATGGTGATGATGATAGTTATAGGCCTAACGCAAGGAGAAGGCTCTTTGCTGTGGATTGGCAAGAAGATTTGACAACACTGTCTCTCCAGTTATATGAGCCAACCATTCGTGCAATGAATCAGCAGGGAGTCCCGTCAGAATACATTTCTGCATCTATTTGTCAATATGCCCAAAAATGGATCTTTTCTTGCAACGATGGAAGGGATAACTCATCAGTTTACAAGAACAACTCTCAAAGGAATGTCATTGAGACGTTGGAGAGGCTTTTGCCTCATGGAAGAGGACTCCTTCCTTGCACAATACTGTTTGAAATGCTACGTTATGCCATTATGTTGGAAGCTAGCCCTGCATGTAGAAGAGGGTATGAGATTAGGATTGGAAAACAACTAGACGAAGCAACAGCTGAGGACCTCCTAATACCTTCTCAAGGGTACACCAAGGAACTGCAATATGATATTGAATGTGTAAAGAGAATTTTGAAGAATTTTTACAGCAATACCTCTGATACTTCAGGTTTTATCTCAGTGGCAGAACTCATGGAACATTTCTTGGCAGAAGTTGCCAGTGACATAGATTTGCGGATAGAAACATTTGTTTCTCTAGCAGAGATGTCCATGGCCGTATTATTAGCAGCACAACGGAACTCTGATGGAATATACAGGGCTATTGATATCTACTTGGACAAGCATAGATATTTAACAGAGCAGGAGAAAGAGGAGGTATGCAAGGTATTGGATTGTCAAAGAATGTCCCGTGAAGCTAGTGAACATGCAGCCAAGAATGAAAAATTGCCTGTAAGAGTAATGGTGCAGGTGCTGTTTATGGCACAGTTGCAACTGCGAGATACAATCACAAAAGAGATGCAGAGTTTTGATGACAAACTGAGAAAGGAAAGAACAGAGAAGGAGGAAAGTGAAGAAAAAATGAGTTGTGGGGAGCAGAAACTGAAGACAGAAATGATGAAAATGAGCAGCAAGGTGGTGGAGCTTGAAAGGGAGTGCCATACCATGAAGAAAGATATTGAAAGTGGTTGCAAAAGGAATAGTGTGAGAAAAGGAAAAGTTAGCATGTGGAGAGAATTGAAGAGGAAATTTGGCTGCACAAGCAACTTCCATGACTGTAACATTCAGGTCAAGAAGAAGAAGGTGCATCCTAAAACTGGAGTATGACAGTGCATCCATTCTGCCACTTCTTTATCTTCTCCTGCTAACTGATCTTGCCAAAGCTTTCTGTTCAAGTACTGAGAATATTAACTGATGACCCTCGAGCAATGCAGATTTCAGAAACTACTTCTGGACATAAATTGGTTGAAACTAGAAACAAAAATCATCATGTGCTGGTAATTTAGTAGTGTATTGGTTGTGTTTAATTTATTCTTCTTTTTATTGAAAAATAAGGTCAGCTGAAAACTGGCATATATTCTTTGATACTTTATAATTTTAGTTCCATGAGAAAATTAATTAGGGAGATTATATGCTGCTTCTTTCATCTTTCTACAGATTTTAGTCTCGCGTGTAAACTTTCTGAATGGGATTTTCTTACGAGGAAGGTGTTTGGCAAGTCGTCGTTCAAAACCTTTTTCTTGAGGACTTCTCTAAAAATTAATATTCTAACTAATATTTAAAAAGCCAATTATTAAATTAAAAATTATACTCATTTATGTATATCAATTTTTAGATTAATCTAATAAACCCAATCAGTTTGTTAATTGCATTAAATTTAACACCATTAAATATATGAAAAATGCTATCGGAACAACCATATATTTTATCTTACATTTTTGTACAATCTGACATGTCATTAAAATAATTGGTTTTTTTAATTTATGTGAGATCCGTAATATTAAATGCATCAACTCATTTAATAACATGTGAAAATTGTATAAAAAAATAAGATAAAAAGATTGTCCAATAGCACCACCTTAAATAGATATTGTAGTAGAGTTTGTTTAATTAAAGACTTATAAATGTTAGATTAATATAAAAATTGATATACATAACATATATAGATAGAACTTTTAATATAACAGATTGATTTTTAAAAATATTAATTAAGGTCTACACTAACCCCTTTTCTTATTATATTCTACTGTACCATATATGACATATATGTATAAACAGAGGAAAAGAATCAAATCTAACCTAGCTTAATTCCAAGAAAAGGGAATTAACAGAGGGAAACCTAGATTTGATACAAATGTACAGCGGCACTCAGAGGTTCAGGGGCATAATTGCTTACCCCCTCAAGCTGCTGCATGAAGGTCATAAATGCCTAGCTTGCCACGCAGAGAATAGAAACTGTCTTTGCTCAAAGCCTTTGTGAAGATATCGGGCAGGTTTTGATTAGATGATGATATATTTGTTGATTAGGCAGCGGGTGAACAACTCCTACTTGAAATTTTTCACCAACAATGTGGCAATCTATCTAACCCAATTTCCTGAGAACAAGGCTATTGCTATTCCCAGCTGCACAATTAAAAAAAAATAAACAAAATAAGAGTCAATAAAAAAGGATGAACAATTTCAGTACTTTTAGGTTATTAATTTTATTTTTAAGACAAATGCTACCAAAAAGAAGTAATTGTATCTTCTTCTTCTTCTTCTTTTTTTTTTTTATTTTTAAAGAGGTGTTTACAGAAATTCCCAAGCATAATCAAACAAATCCAAATTTAATACTAAAATATGAATTCCTATCTCTCGAAACCCTTCCCTTGGAAAACCATTAAAAAAAAAAAAAAAAAAAAAAAAACCCCTAACGTCCAAAGCTAGGGGAACAACAGCAACAGCTAGAAGTTGCTATGGAGCTCTATGGAGATCTCC